GTGTTTGTGTGGTCTTTGATAGCTCAGATGACTATTGAGCCTGTACAGCGTTCGATAACGGCAATTCAATGAGGAACAGATGGCTAAGCTTACTGGGAACCCTCATGGTGCATAACCCTCATTTTTTCTTGCGGGCTTAGAACCAGAGTTAACGATTTATTATAGTATTAAATAAATTTATTATATTTTTGTCTATTATAGTGATATGGTAAGCAATTAGGTATGTCTCATAAGCATAGGTTGAAAATTGTGCGAGAGACTTATGGAAACACTTCTGCAATTGGTGCAATCATTTGAGCGGCTTAAAGCAAACGAGCTGTTCTCTAATCTGTAGGCTTACATCGATGAAATTGAGTTACTGCTTATGAATGTTGGATAACCTGACTGAAATTTCATGCGAAAATTTTTTTTTATCTTCAGCTTTACAGTGCGTTTTATTTCGACGTTGTTAAGCTACTCGTAAGCTACAGCCATGCACATAACAGATCTTCAAACCTGGCAGCCATTACTAAGGATTCGCCAAGTTTGGCAGACTTCATGGTTAAGGTATATCATTAGTTGCAAACCGCAGATGAGACGTGATTATTGATCATGTGATTTATTTTCAGACTTCGAAGGACCTGGGTTCCTTCGGTGCATATACTTCGTATGCAAACAATGAATATTTCGAGGACGTGGTTGCCAGCATTCTTCAGTTTAATGCTACAGATGGAATGCAGCAACATCGAATGGTAACAATACACTCGAAAGCCTGATCGATACGGCTGCAATTTCAGATGGGCAACTGGACAGTGACGCGGGGCATGAAGCTGTATTATAACTATTCGCTGCTAAAAGATTTTACCCATATCAGACACTATCGAGTTGCCACGGTCATAGTAAGAAGTTTTAATATAACTATCTTTTGTGATTTGTGAAGATTCAATTTCAAAGAAAGGATGGCTAGTGGTTAATAATATTGTTTAACAAAGGATGGTTAATATTATTAATCTCGATATTAATATTGGTAATATATATTATTGAAATCGAACTAGTCCAATTTTGAGCAAAAATGACTTACCTTCGTGTAGTTTCAATCGGTAAAGTCAGATTGAATACAATTCGAAAAAGCTAAGATTTTATATATGATCAATTTTCTAAGCGGTTTTATTCAATGAATATTGCAGTTCTAAATTAAACACTCTCGAAAAGTATTGACTTCTATTTTAAAAGCTTTTGCGTATCTTCATAGTAAATTTTGACATAACAGGCAATGGGAAAGCTCAGCCGAAGTTGCTCTTATTCATCCATTTACATATCCATTGAAACCTTTATTAATAGGAATGTAGTGTCCATTAATTATGAAATATATTGTGCACTGAAGAACAAAGGGCTGAAATATTTCACCAATGCCGGACAATGCCAATTAGCCATGGTTGTAACCGAAAGATTTTGACAACGGTAAATTCTGTTGTTCCCTAGGGGTTTATTTCATGATGATATAACATAACAGTATTTTTTATTAATAGTTATGGGAATCAAGCAGATAAGTCTCAGCGGAGTATTGAAGTGCAAGTCTCACCTAGCCAATTTCTATTCGCTATCCATTGCTCATATCAGTAGATCTTCCCAAACAGGGGAAGCAGAGGGAAAAGGAAGGAAATTCCTTAACAGCTGGGGTGTTTGAATTCCTTTTACTTTTTGATTCAGAGTTATTTGTGGCACCTATCCGTTCATGAAACTTACGGTACGGTGATGATTTTTGTTCCCACTCCGTCTGCCAGGAGTGCCCTATTTTAAAAGCAGAGTCTTCAGACATGTGACGGCAATTTACATGGTCTGTAGTTTCTTTTCAACAATACGGTACTCATTATTTAAATTTTCCTCATTTTCAGTACGAAGAGCTTGAGACGTAACTAAAGGTTCTTTTTTCTCTTTTAATCATGTACCCGTTTATGAACTTCAGGACGATGAGAGACGAGCCACCTCGGTTCGACGATCGCGAAATCATGGCTTGCCGATTCTTGATCCAACGCTCTACACACTGAGTGATCCTAGAAATATGAAAATGTGCACCTAAATGTCCAAAGTTAGAAACGTTTCTGGTACAGAAGCACCAAGGACAGAAGCTGTCTTAATCCATGTTTATTTGCATTGTTCAGGACCGTCTAAATTTTTTCCATTTATAAGCATCAGGCAAAACCCAGTTGTTCTTCGACTGAGTGGTTTGGCGCTACAGATTCGGTCCTAGTAAAGAAAAATGCCATAAAGCCCTTGTCAATATGCTCAAGAGTAAGTTTTCATACTCGAAAAAAGACTTAGTACGGTATTTTTCCAACTTATTTGAGATATAGTTGACATCCGGATCAACACCACTAATGCATGGTCTATACATCAATGTCCTATTCAATTGAATAAATATAGGACAGCCAAATGGAGATATCCATATTTACTAATTACTAATGACTTACGAAATTGTATCCTGAACATGATTTCTAATAACTTTGATTCTCCATTATTCGCCAGTTAGAAATAACATTTAGCACGATCTGGTCTTCAACTCGCATTGCTGAGTGGCATTAGATTCGAGTAGCATAGAAACAGTCATAGCTGCCTTTCCTCACTGCGAAAGTGAATAATCCGTACAAGTTTTAATATGATCATTGGGCCGTCTTTGCCAAAGGCAGTGAGGTAATATTAAAAACAGTTAACCTAGTAACAATTTACTGTGTTGTTTCTTCGATGGCAGCAGTGTTATTAAATTATTGACGCCAAAAACGGAGTCAGTGGTACACGTGTACGGTGAATATATAACGATCTTCAGCCTTTAATTCAATTTTTTAGCATTTGTTCTACCAGATGTGACGTTTTAGCAACCACCGTTTATCGAGAGATACCAATCGTCGGATGGAAGGTGGTTGCTTCGAGGTTACTGCATCGATCTGTTGAGGCTGATTCAAAAGAACCTGAAATTCACCTACACTCTGTATATCGTTGAGGATAACGTGTGCGGAACGATGAACGGAATACAGGAATGGAACGGT